CTTGAGATGATAAAATTCAAAAATGAAGAACAGATTAAAGATTGCCACGGGTTAATAAGGAGGTGATGAGAATGAGGAAGGGGGTGTTGCCATTAAAGGACAAGATGAGGGATCCTTGTGGCAATGAAAATGTTCTATATCTTGAATATATCAGTGACAATCCTGGTTCTGATGTTGTACTGTAGTTTGGCAAGATGTTACCATTGGGAGAAACTTAGGAAAGGGTATAAGGAATCTCTCTGTATTACTTTTTACATCTGCATGTGAATCTACAATGATTTCAAAATAAAATTTTTAATTTAAAAAATTGGTACTTGCTTCTTAATTGTCTTAGTGAGTTTTCTCTATTGGTCAGAACTTGGAAGAGAAGTGGGGAGGTAAGTGGAGAATATAGAGACCAAACCTTATCATAAATCCCACAAGCAACCAAACTTCAGGATTCAGCAGTGAAACTCAGGAAACAATGACAGATGCTTCTGGTTGGCCATAAAGGGTTTGTTGTTGTTGTTGTTCCCATTCCTAGTCACAGAACTGTTGTTTACAGTGGAGAACAGTATTTGTTAAGTTTGACCAGCAGCCAATTACAGTGCTATTATTTGAGCCACATTAACCTTCCACAGTCATTTTTATGCTTGGTTATGTTTGCTCTAGTACCTTTCTTAAAGAGTGGATATTTGATCAGTTTCCCTATAACAGTGACATTCAATATGATAGCTGCTAATAACCACATGTGGCTACTGAGCATTTGAAATATGCCTCGTCTGAATTGAGATGTTTCATAAGTGTGAAATATAAACCCAATTTAGAAAAATCAGTAGTTTTTTAAAAAGAATGAAGAATACCTTAATCTTTTTATATTGATTTCATGTTGAAATGATAACATTTTGGATATACTGGGTTAAATAAAATAGATTATAAAAATCGATTTCATCATTTCTTTTATTTTTAAAAAATGTAGCTACTAGAATTTTTTTTATTATTATTTAAAGCCTTTTTTTTAAATGTACAGTTACTAGAAAATTTTAAATTATATTTGTGGCTCAAATTACAGTTGAGTCTATTAGATGACTCTGGAAGTTGAAACAAGGTAACAACTCCAAACAAGCCCCAGCAGTAAATATCTTTTTGATGACTGTAAAGCTAGGTGATTATAACTTCATGAACAGATCACAAATACATTTATTTCTTAGCTTCTGAATAAAGGAAAGTGTTCTCCGTTGGGTCTCTACCAACCCTAGATTTGCTGAAGAGCATTCAGTAGGCAGAAACTGAGTGCTCTAAGGAGTTGCCATATTTATTTACTAAGACATTATTTTGATACAGAACTTTTTGCTTTAGTGCCTGGAATAATTTAGAAGGCAGCTGGAAAGAGTCTCCAAATTCAGGGAAATGGAATGTTACTCACACAAACTGAAAAAAAAAAAATCTGGCTCAGATTTTTGTTTATGACATGCCTCCACATCTCCTTTGCTTCTGCCAGATCATTTTCTTTGTGCCAAATGCAAGAAGTTTCCAGTGAAGGGAGGCATATTTTTGAAAAGCTCAGGCTTGTTCTGCTTGATACATTAACTTACAAAAAGCAGGTGGGAAATTTCCCTCTAGTACAGTGTTAAAAATATCTGTCATGCAATCAGACAACAAAAAGAAATAAAAGGTATTCAAATTGGCAAAGAAGAAGTCAAACTCTCTCTTTTTGCAGATGACGTGATACTTTATGTGGAAAACCCAAAAGACTCCACCCCCAAATACTAGAACTCATCCAGCAATTCAGTAATGTGGCAGGATACAAAATCAATGCACAG